ATGTATATGTTTATGTATATGAGAGTTTGTGGCCAGTATGTGCGATTCAATTTGGTAGCCAGAATGTAACAACTTAGTTAATGGCAGTATCCATTGTGTATACGCATACGCACCGGGCAATAAGAGCAAATACGGGGTTAGTTTGCAGCGCAAGAATCTAAATTGAGTGGTCTTCCAAGCGAGCAGCGATTGTTGCAAGACGGAGTGAGCGTCTTTTCTTTTTTATCGGAATTGAATACATGTTTAGTATACGATACAGCTGCAGTAACAACAGGAGTATTACCGGTACTGATACAATCACCCCCATTGTATGGTGTGGTCTTTCTGTCATCTACGTATTCATGCTCTTCTTTCATCTGTTCATCTTTCCACAAAGATGCGTTGCCGGTTGAGGATGCATGCTATCCAATAGTGCATGCTATCCAATCAGCAGGCCGCATATTATGTCTAACATCTTGCTTGAGTCACTCCTCTTGCCATCCTCTCATTTCTCCTTCCTTCTCGTTTCTGTGGTTGCGGTACTGCCAGTTCAGTCTGTTTGATATATTAACTTATTCTAGATATTTCACGTTTCATACGCACCATGGAATGCAACGAGTCAGAAATGCAGAATGATCCGGTTTTTTTTACCGGAATAGTCGTTGCTTCATAGACTCCTGTTCGTCATTTAACCAACCAGCCATAGATTGCCATATTCCTAGTTTAGTTTACTTTTCTCCTTGCATCCCCTCACTTATTTGACCCATCTCTGCCTGTTCTCTTTTCTATTCATGTTGTTGTTGATCGATCTGTGTTTCTCCGTGCAATCGATTACAGCACATGTACTTCTAATACGCATTAACACTTTTTATTCGCTATGAGCAGTAGATGTAAAGTACGATGTGCTGATATGAAAGTACGCTGATATCGTCCTTCACGTGATTTCTTGCGAAGCGAAGTATTTTTAATTTTATCTTACTCGAAACTCACAGTAAACAAACTGATATCGAACGTCACTGGTGGCCGAATTTATGATGGATCGGTCGCGTTATGGAGGTCTGCTGATCGGTTGCTGCAAATAAAAGTGGTAACGCAGGTGCATAGCTTTGCTATGGTTTTAAGATTTGATATATAAAACGAATTGACAATTGAAGCGTGCTGCGTTACTAACTTGTCAAAATGTGTAAGTGTGCGAAGTTAGTGCATAAAGTAAAAGAGTTCTTTACGCTCTCCTCTTCTGCTGTAATATTAACTGGAAGAATATCTGTTTCGTGCTGATATGAGAAGCAAGGACCATTTTGGTTGATTATTTGCACTTAGGTCTGGACGTCCTGTCGTTTTTTGCCAGTTATCCATTAGTAGTGTGGTGTGTTTTGCATAACGAGCATGAGATGGTTTACTTATTTAGTCGTTTTAATACAAGCCCTCCCGTACTTTGTGACTTTCTGTGCTTTTCACGTTTAGATGCAGTGAACCATTTTTTTTAAAATATCCTTGTTTGTACTTGTAATACGTTTCAAAACAGCATTTATACTTATAGGCTGCTACCGAACATGGCGTCTATGATGTAAATGTTGTAAGCAGAGACCATTCCAATTTCCTGTTGTGAAAAAATACTTTTTAACGAAAATAGGGTTGAAGCCCGATGTCCAATTAAATGCGTTATTTCTTTCGCTTTTGTGATATGGATGCTCTTCGTCCGATTTGAATGGAACAGATTACAGATCTCTCCTATTAAAATTCTGTTGTCGCTTCTGTCATGGCTTTAGTATTTGCGAGTGTGAACTAGTGTAATTCATATTTATGTTTGTTGTAACTGCTTTGCAATTTGTAAATTATTGCTTGAACCGCATTTGGAAGTATATGACTTTCTATGGCCGTTGATCGGTTTATAGACATCTGAAAAAAGTGTGGTTCCTTGATACGTGACTGGTATTGTATATCTGCTAGGGTGGTAGTGATACTGTAAACTGATTCAGATTTTCACCGTTAATATTTGTTTAAAAGTACTGTTGAGGTGTGGGTGCAGTTCTTGTTCTCTTTCATGTCGTAATTGGGTGTACGGGGAAGTGGAGGACTGCTATCACTACAAGTACCACTTGTCATGTTATTCACTTTAATTCAGTCACCAATTAGGTTTTCGACACTTTGGATCTTCGTATCTGTGTTAATCGCAATGCGTAGTATTTTTTCTTTGTTTGGAATTCTGGAAAATATCCATCATTGTCTTCTACGACCATACAGGCGATCTCCACTGTGGGCATCTGTTTTTCATCTTGTAGTATTGGTCCTGTTCAGTTCTTGTAATTTTAATTTTTTCAGTATTAAGTAGGTCGTAGTTCTCCATAAATCTGCCGGGAATCCAAGTTTATCGAATGGCCTCTTTGTTCAGTGATACATTCACAGGGTGTAGTATTTAGAATTATCAAATCTCGATCAAGGCATGTTTATTGTGTTGATTCTTTTTCATTTTCAAATGTTATATTTCTGGCCTCATATATCAAAGATAAACCCGTAAGTCTTCAGTTTTCGTCTCGATAAACGTTGAAGCAAAGTGGAAATGCTGTGTGTTGTCTGCTTTATATAGCCTCTTTCATGATTTGTTGATCTTTTGACAGTACTAAAGAAGAGCCACCATCATTCGGCTGAAAATCGAAATGTAATATATCAAAAACAAAGAAAGCTATTTTAAATCTAAAAAAAAGACCTCATGACAACTATTGAATCGTTGTTATACAGTTAGTTGTTAGTAGATGTCTTGTTGTGCATACTGTTGGTTGAGTAGTTCAGTGTCAAATTGGACAAACATTCTTTTTTATTATGTTCATCAAGAGTCATACAAAGGGACGAATTTAAAAAGGCAACTATGAAATGCACGAAACAGAGAGACGTCAATGACGTTCATGTTTTTGTCATATTTGTTTGTTGATGGATGTGAGATGTTTGGTAGAGGTAAATTACTCTTATCCAAGAATAGTTACTCTTTCATCTTTCCTCGCTATCGATATTCACTGCCCCATTTTTTGCAGCCGTTCTGATTTCTTTCTGTGTTCATCTTTAGACATTTTCTCGGTACCCTTTGCGTAACATTTAGGAATTGTTCATGAAGTTCAGATCTTCTGTGTTCAGGAAAGGTCTCGAAAATATTGCGTTAATGTTGCATTCGGAAATTCATCCACATGTTTAGTGATTTGAACGCAAATTGTGTGGATTCCTACGCGAATATTTTCTAAAACAAAATTCACACTTTTTGTTTTCTTTTTTGTTTTCTCTATGTAGAGCAGTTTAGTAAGGTTTGTCACAATAAGTTTCACTGTTGCTTGGAGTCCTGCTGGATACTGTAAGAGACCCAGTGCTGGTAAATTTTTCGTTGATGTGAAATCAAAAAAAAGCTTTTTAAATATTAAACATTAAATGCAATAAACGGACTGAATATAGCAAAAATGCACAGAACATTGTTGATGGATTGTTGAAATGTGTTCCTATAGCCATTCATTTCCTTGATGAGGTCGTCAACGTTATCATATTCTGACTCGTCATAATGCAGGATTTATGTTTCGACTTTTTAGTTTACTTTGGATATGGCATCCGGGGGCAGCAGTGAAGAGGCGCAGCTAGCTCAATGTCAAGCCTATGTGCAACGGCATAACATTCAGCAGTTGGTCAAAGAAGCGATTGTTAGCTTATGTATAAACAAACCTGAAAATCCGATCTTATTTCTCAAGGAACATTTCGAAAAGCTCTATGATCAACGATCTCAGGCATGTTGACATTTTATATCAAGTGCATGCTTGGCGTATTTTGGGGAAGAGATCTAAATTGGAAGTTATTTGTGGCGAAATTGCAATAACTCAAAGTCCTGAACAGCTTTTTTTTTCTGTTAGGGTTCACAAAAGGACAAATTTTAGTCGTACTCTGTCTTTGGGATTTCTTACTGATTACTGATGCGTAATGCTTTTTAATACACTATGCTATTTCAAAAAATTGCTGCACTGCCGTATTTGGCGGTGTTTTTCATATTGTTCAGAACTCAGTTAAAATAAAAAAAAACGATGTTTTTAGTAATCGCCTGTACCCTTCTAATTTCTTGAAAGCATCTTATTCACTAGATTACTGATTTTTTGACAAATATGTGTCTTTTGGACATCATTTTAGTCATTTTAACGACATGCAGTTTGGTCGTTGGTATTCCTTTGCGTAGTATATATTTTTGGACAAATTGAGCGAAATATAATAATTTCTTCCTCATGATTCACATATATATTATCTTACGGAGACTTTTCATTTTTGCAGAAAAGTCATAGCTCTCGAGATTCTTTGGTAACGGAAACATTTGTTCCCTTTGTTTTCTAAGAGGAGTTCTGACAAAACATCGTTCTAAAAAAGTATGGTAACCTGAGAACTAGTTTCTTACTTTATGAAGTTGAGTATAGTAACTTGGTCATTTGAACTGTTCTACTTATATGATATTTTCTGTTATTGAATGATAAACGCTCAAGTTTCTTTTCAATCATATTTTCGAAAATATAAATGAACTTTGTGGAATTCACATAAAAGCAAATGATGTGTTTGCTTGTGCGTATCTGTATTAATATCTGTGAATATTTCTCTGATTCACATGCGGTATAACTATTCATGTGAATCATTTTGCATACTATTCAAGTTGCTGATAAGGTGACAGGAACAAGGAAGAGGGAGGTTGTTCTTATAACTGAACGTTCAATTTTCTGAAAGGTAGTAAGGATAGTTGATTTTTCAGTAAGAATAGTTTAACATTTCATTAAACTGTTATATACATATATATATATATATATATATATATATATATATATAT